CAACGCTGCTCTCCGTCTCGTCACACCGTCTCTGTGGAAATTGACTGTGAGGTCATGTAAGCATTCTGCCTCTGGAAGAAAGGACTCGCAGGTTGGTCGTTGGGAGTTCCTGACCCTCCTTGGTGTAAATGCCATACCGAGCAGTGGTTGGGCTCCCCCAGTGGCTCAGGGGTCAAGAATCCACCTGCAATGCAGGAGACGCAGGTTTGATCCCTGGGTCAGGAAGATCCCCTGGAGGAGGGAATGGCAACCCCCTCCAGTGTTTTTGCCGGGAAAATCCCATGGAGAGGAGCCTGGCGGGCTGCAGTCCATAGGGTTGCAAGAGTTGGACATGACTGAGCACACGCATACATGAGCAGTGGTTGAGGGTTTGTTTTCTTTAGTTCTGGCCGTGACTTTTGAGGTTGTTCCAGCCAATTTGAAAGAGCACAGTAAGACACACCAGCAGGCGCCTCCACGTGCAGGAGGGCTTTTGTTTCTTTGGCTAGGCGTGGCCCTGTCACAAGGCACGCAGGTCTGGCCAGCCCAGGTCCTGGTGGGTGTGGCACTGCGTGGGGGGCTTGGCCGTGCTCATGGGGCCGCAGAGAGGCCCAGACCCTCCGGAGGTCACTGGGCAGCAGCCCTCGGATGAGATGTGGTGTGCACTCTAGTCCAGCGGCTCTTGTCACGGAGGCTCTCGCGTGTGTCCCAGGAGGCATGCACAAGAAAGGTCAGAGCAGTGCTGTTTATAGAAGCAGACACGCCAAAAATGACCCAGCGTTCACTGACAGGAGAGTGGATAAATGAAACCGGTGTTACAGAAGGCGTGGAATTGTACAGGACTGAAAACGAAAGCACTTCTGTACACGTCACCTGGTTAAATGTCAGACCTACCATTGAGTGAAAAAGCAGGAACAGAGGAGCGTTTACAGTATAACATCATTCAAGTTAGCGTCACAAACCTACTCATTAAACTCTACTCACAGATCTAAACTAGCGTAAAAAGTAAGGAGTGACGAGCACAAAATTCAGCACCACAGCTCCCCACTGTCGGGCGGGAAGACACCATCATGACGGGGCCTATGGGGGCGGTGGGGGGCTTGCCAGGGTTCTGCTTCTTGAGCCGAGCTGTCCAGTGGGGCGGCCGCCAGCCTCTCGTGGCTGTTTCTCTACATTCCAATAAAAACTCAGTTTCTTGGTCACACGAGGCACATTCCAAGTGCTTGGTAACCTCGAGTGGCTGTCGTGTTGGACAGTGTGGACATGGAACATGTCCGTCATTGCTCGAAGCTCCGTTTGGTGGGTGAGGTCACTGGATACATAGATTTCATTCATTCTCTGTAAGTTGTATAGACTCATGTGTGAAATCTTTCAAAATTTTGTTTTAATTTCAGTGCTAGAAAATCTCTAAGCACACACATTTAGAAAATCTGAAGTGTAACTTCCCAAGTGAGAAGTCGGAGTGGTTGGTAAAGTTACCTGAAACTGCCTTCGTGTGACCATCTCTTTGGCACCGCCCCCCACCGGAGTTGAGTGACACACACAAGGGACGTGAGAAGGGGTCCAAAGTGTGTGCGGGTGCGCATGTGCACACACACGTCTGTGGGTGGTGTGTTGGCAGGGTTACCCTAACATAGCTGCCACCTCTGTGTGCCCCGACTCTGTCGTCCCTGGTCATCATGGTGCTTTATCTGCTCTCAGGTGTGTAGTTTGAGTGACTTTCCAAATCTCCTGAAACCTGTGCTGAAGGCTTTGTTGCTAAGTTTTGTTGTTTGAAGGAAGAGACGACAAGCAGCCTCCAAGTTGAAGCCTGTCCTAGTTTGTGCTGCCCTTGATTTCCAAACTTGAGGAGGTTGGTTGTCATGACAAAGAACCTGCTCTCTCCACTTGATTTATTGCGTCTTGTGCTAGAGCTGGCTGTCTGAGGCTGTTAAGTACTCAAAAGGAGAGAGATTTATTGGTAGATATGCACTTTCTTTATGTGCTCATGTGGATTCCCCGCTGCCCCGGGACAGCCCAGAGCCTGTTGCCGTGTACTTCCTGGGCGGCTCTGGCTGCTCTCCAGTGAAGGTGGCCTTACCTGGGCCCTTGGTCATAATCGGGGGCTGGGGGGGGGCCTCCACACCCTGTTTGCCTACCCTGGTTCTGCCCTGGCCCTGATGGCACAGAGTGAAACTGGCCATCCCTCAGCCCCATGCCTACCCATGTGTAATAGCTATGCAGGGCAGCAGACTGGAGGAGGCGGAAGCTGGCTTGCCCAGTCTGTGTCTCTGAAGATCTTTGGCCACCAAAGAAACCATGCATCCTGCCTATACTTCCCCATTTGTGTCTGCTTCTCTTGCCCTGCTTTCGGTCTTACTCACCAGGGTAGAAGTCACACCCTAGCATCTGACTTGGGAACCTGTCTGGAGAGGGATGTGCTGTGACCTTGGGGATGCTGAGACCAGCGTTCTAAGGAGCAGGTGGGGGCAGCAAGCAGAGCAGCCTGAAAGAGGGGCAGAGACCAGCGGGCTCCAGCCGGGTTGAGACTTCCGCTCAGTACTAGAGGGAGAAGAGGGGCATGTGTGAGGCACACCGTTCCCCGGGATCCTGAGTCACGCGTTCAGTGCTGCAGTGTCCCGGTCCGACCTGCAGCCAGTCCACATCACACAGTTAGGTTAGCTCCCAGCACTGAGCAGGTGCCGTGTGCCCCGCACGTGGATGAGCGCCTTCCTGCGTTACCAGAGCCAGTGTCTCATTTAACACGCATCACCTCAGACGTCTCAGGTAGAACAATGTTGCCAGACGAAACTTGAGACTTAAGAGGTGCTGCTGAAGTCGGTCGACTGCAAGCAGTCCGACTCCAACTGCCCACCCTTTTAACCACCGTGTGAACTGCCGAAGCTGTTGTAAAGAAGCAAGTGTGAACTGTATGTGGGCCCCCTGCTTGGGTGGGGAAGAGAAGGGGAGCTGGAGCAATCACACCATCTGCTGGCCTGCTGTGAATCCCAGGGCTGGCGCCGCCCGCGAGGGCTGGTAACGAGAGCCCCGGGGCTCTGCGTTGAGTGGCTCCAGCTGAGCAGAGAGTCGCGCCAGCCCTCTGGATTTGTGTCTGCGCTGGGCTCTAAGAAGAGCTTCTCGCAGCTCTGGCTGGCGGACAGACAGCTGCAAGGCTGGGTTTGGTTTGACTGCCCTTGTGAACGAAGGTCAGGCCTGGCTTCTCTCTCTGGTCCAGAGTGCAGGAGGCTCCTAGATAATTGTAAAGGGCGGATCATGTATCTGATCCTGCCTGCAGCCTGAAGGTCTTTGACAAGAGGATTGAGCCTTGGCCCCTGATAAGCCACGTGCAGCACTAGTAGACACAGTGACACGCCTGTAATAGAGGTGCTATGTCATTTATTTGGAAGGGTTTTTTTGTTTGTTTTTTGTTTTTTAGTACTAAACTGCTGAGAAAATTAAAACGGAGTGTATTTTTTTATTTTTAAAATACACATACTTCTTTTTCCATTGCATAGAATCATGTTCTCCCTGTCAACCATTTTCAAGTATTTTCTGTGAATTTCTGACATTACCCAAAGAAGCAGTGCTTTTCATGGGGTATTTTTTCTTTGGTTGATTTGTTCATTTGTTGAATTAATGTTTCCTGAGCATCTTCTCTGGGCCACATATGGTGTTAGCACCGGAGACGCAGGCTTGAGCAGGGCAGGTACAGTCCTCAGCGAGTGTGTTCTTGTTAGGAGGTAAACACATAACTAATTTAATAAAATGGTTTCAAACCCTGGAAAGTGCTGTGGTAAATGAAGGAAGGCTGCTCATTGGGTTTTTTTTTTTTTTTCAACAGTTTCATTGAGATAGAATTCACATACATGACTCCTTTAAAGTGTAGAATTCAAAGTTTTTTTTTATAGTAATTCACTGGGTTGTGTAATGATCACCAGATTCTAATTTTAGAACACTTCTCCCCCACCAGAAGAAACCTCTTAGTCACCAGCAGCCGCTCTCCATCCCTCTCTACCCCCTTTAGTCTTAGGCAACCTCTCATCTATTAATACTTTCTGTCTCTAGAGATTTGCCAGTTCTGGACATTGCAGATAAACAGAATTATACAATATGTGGTCTTTTGTGACTAGCTTCTTTCACTTAGCATCATGTTTTTGAGATTCATCCATGGTGTAGCATATCAGTACGCCACTTAAACGTAGTTTTAGACCTGTGTTTTATTCGTTTTGATGATTGTGAATGGAAGCTTCTTACATTCATTTTGAATGTTCCGTGCTATTGTGTAGAAATAAAAGTAATTCTTGTCTGTGACCTTGTTTATGATGTATATCATCTTGTATTCTGTGAGCCTACTAAATTTGTTTGTTAGTACTAGTTCGTTAGTGGATTGCTTTAGATTTTTCATATACAAAATTATGTCATCTACAGACAGATTAGTTTTATATCTCCCTTTCCAATCTGGATGGCTTGTGTTGGAGTACAAAATTGAGTAAAAGGGACCAAAATGGACACCCTCGTCTTGTTCCTGATTTTGTTGAGAAACCATGTTGTCTTTCAAAACCCTGAGGGTTTTGAACACCTTAGTTCTACTTCAGTCTCCACTGCCAGCTCTGAGGCCTGACGCATGTCACTTGTTGCAGTTCCCTAACCAAACAATGAGAAGGTCCACTCAAAAGGGCCTTCATTCCCAGTTCTCATGTCCAGCCCTTCTGCGGTTCCACCGCAGTGTCCTTTCATCTTAGCCAGTTCCCTTGGACGTTGGTTAGATCATCAGGTGAACTCTATAGGGATGCATGGAAGTATTTGCGTATTTGTTTTCCACACCCATTTTGACTACTTTCACCCTAACTTGGAAGGAAGTTGCAAAAATTGAAAGGTGTAAGCAGAAGAGTTTGAATGGATCCATGTTTCCTTTTCTTTGTAACCTCAAACAGTGAAAGGGAAAGATTTGCCCGAGGACAACACTCATTTCCACAGAAGGTGAGTGAACCACGGCTTCTTCCCACTCTGCCTCTAACATTCAGTACCTCCTCTGTTTTCAGACTCTCAGCGTTCTCATCTCTCTTCCTTCACCATGAAGCTGAAGGACAAATTCCACTCGCCCAAAATCAAGAGAACGCCATCAAAGAAGGGAAAACCAGCCGAGGTGTCTGTGAAGATTCCAGAGAAGCCCATGAACAAAGTAAGCTGACTCTAGGTGTTTCTCCTGGCCGTCACCTGCTTGGAGCAATATGTTTGTGCTGTTTCTAAGTTCATGCCCTGGGGACTGAGCTTTCAGTACAGAGCACCTTTCCTGTGGTGCTCCACAGTTCCAGGTGGGGCCTTCCGTGTCCTTGTGAAATAGGAACCTTTAGGACGGTGAGCGTTTCTCCCATTAATCAGAGTCCAGCGTGGTTGGCTAGAACAGTTCTTTTCCAGATGTCATCCTCTGGGCATTTAACACAGCTCAGCGCATCAAGTTCACACCCAGGCTGTGGTCTCCATGCCCCTAGAGACGCCCCTCTTGCCCCCCGACACACACACGTAGATTTGTGATGTCCAGAACATCCATCATTTGGTTCCAGGGCCCACGCTCTGAAACTTGCTAAACCCTTGAAACCCAGCCGAAGATGCCCTCAAACACCAGGAACCTCAGCAGGGCCAGTCAAGCCAGATGTGTTGCAACAGCTGTTGACTTTCATCAACCCCTTTCCTTCAGCTTAAAACGGCCATTTCAAGCTCTGTAGGAATCCAGGTTTCCTCTCTTCCAGGAGGCAACAGACAGATTTCTACCAGAGGGCTACCCTATCCCCTTGGATCTGGAGCAGCAGGCAGTAGAGTTTATGTCCACCAGTGCTGTGGCTTCCAGGTCTCAAAGGCAGAAGGTCAGTGTGATGCTAAGAACAATTGGGTTTGCCTTGCCTTCTACTGCAGAATCCTGGCCCATGGTTTTGGGGATGGAAAAAAAAATTTCTGTTGCAATATCATTGTGTTCAGTTGGGTGGCAACTGTGGGCTTAACTGTTCAGGAAACAGTCCAAGGAGCCATGGATAAAAGTCAGAGTTTATCCAAGCCTCTGTGGTCTTTGGAGCAAGCCCAGTGCTCCACGGTCAAAGCTTGGGGATTCGGGGTTTGGTTTGGGTGTGCTGCTTGGGTCCAACGGGTTCGGGGGGAACGGGTGAGTCTCATCTTTTAAGACCAGCTGTTCTTTCCTTGAGCTGCTAAGATGCTCTGGACAGTTGAGGAAGGGCGTGTAAAGTGTAAGGTCTCTTTAAATGTCTCGTGAGACTCCTAAGCATGATGAGATAGCACAGAACCAGTGTCTCATAGCCAGGGACTCCTTTTGTGCTGCTAACATTTACCAAGCCTTTTCTTAGCCCCATGCTCAGTACTTTTCACTTGTTCCCTTACTTAATTCTCATTATAACCCTGGGAGGTGGAAACTTAAATCTTGCAGACAAGGAAACTAGGGCTGTGGAGCTACTAAACACTTGGGCAAAGCCATACAAAGAGCGGTGACCCAGAGATTGAAACCCAGGCCACCAGACATCAAGTGGAAACTCTGACGATGCTACATTTACTCTTTATGAAAGTCAGTTTATTTTTTAATACCTCACAAACCTAATGCTAGCCTCCACACATAATTGAACATAAAAACAAAATTAAACTTAGCGAGGTAAAATAAAGACAAGCCTGTCAGAGAAGTAGATTCTCAGTCCTTTAGTAACTGTCCACAGTGTAGAACTGTTGTCACAGCTCAGCTGTCAGTTTAACGCCACTAGCAAACACTGCCCTGTTACATAAACACATAGTTGTTGAATTTTGCAGTGTACTTCCTCTTGTTTTTGTGTTGACCAGCAGAATATCTTAAAATACTAGTTAAAAGTAGGGAAAATAAAGGTTTTCGGTCCAGAGTCTTTCACTGAATCATTTTTCCTGCCCCATCTGTTAACAAAAAGAGGCTAGAGAGCAAGAATGACATGTACGTTGTTTACCAGACTGATCTGAATTCCAAATTGAAGAGAAGAATAAAGTGCAAGATTTGGTCTGTACCACAATTATTTTCTTTTTTTTTTTTTAATTACAATCTGTTTAGCAATCCCTTGGAGCTGGGTTTTATATAGAACACCAAGAGGAGTGTCACTTGTCATCTGACACTGTTCAGGCAGCCCAGAGTAAAATGATGCATTGAGCACCGTGTTTTGCTAGTGAACTCTGATAGAAAACTCTTCCAGCTGCTCACTTCTTGGCGTTTCCCGCCCCCCTTTCCTCCTTATTCCAAGAGAAATGATAGAGGAAACTTGACGTTCAGGTACCCTTTCCTTAGTGGGGGTTCCTGCAGACTCCAGGGCACAGCTGGCAGTGTCTGGAGACATTTCTGGTTGTCACAACCAGGAGATTGCCGCAGGTGTGGCCGGCGGCCGGTGGGTAGAGGCCGGGGGTGCTGGTAGGTGTTGTACGATGCACAAGACAGCACGTCCCCCACCCCCCACCCCCCACAAGAATCGTCTGCTCTAAAATGCCCATGCCGTTGCTGAGAAACTGTTCTCTAGGAAGGAGCTGTATAGATCCTCGCCCAAGGAAGAGCATCACCCTGGTTTCTGGTCATCACCCTTTAAGAAGGGTGGCGTTACCGTGCCCTGTCACCTGCATGATCCAGAGTGAGTCCAAACCCACACGGAGGCCCACAGGCAGGACTGGGAGTGTTGGGGGTCTGCCTGCCAGGGTGTGAGCGTAGCTGACTCTGTTGGAAATATCTTACCATAACCTGTCTTCTGCTGTCATCCGTAACTGTTACTTACTAACGCTCTTACAACTTAGTGTTTCTCTGTATAGTCTCATTGTTCCCAAGATGTTACCTGGGAAGCTGCAGCTCAGGCAGACAGGAATAGATTTGGATTCACCCACAGCTTCCCGTGGGTCTCCCTTTGCCGGGCCCTGTCCTGGGTGACATCACACGCTGTTTTCCTTCTCACTTTGACCGTGCACACAAGCTTTCACTGTTTCTGGTATACAGAAAGTGTGGGCTCTGGGCCAAGGTTGCTTAATCAGAATCTGCCATTCCCTTAATTTTATGAAATGCTTCCACAAATATTTTGCCCCAGCACCCTCACAAACCTCCTTAACCCACCCAGAGCAGGCGTTAGTATTCCCGTTTTGCACACGAGGAGCCTGAAGCCCAGTGGTGCTTTTGGATCGCGACCTGCCCCAGCACCACTGGCCTCAGGGGGTTTCCAGGTCTGTCTGTGCCGTGGTGGCCCCTAATCCCCTGATGCACGAGGAAGTGTGCGGGTGGATGCCCCTGCCTCTCCTAGGCCCTCGCCTCAGGTTCCTGCTTCCTGGGGGTGCTTCTTCTGGGTTTCTCATTGTAGACTCTTGACTGCTGGCTGTGTTTTGTGAGAAGCCATAGTTTTAACAGCTGGAGGGCAGAGGGAATGCACAGCATTCAGAGACCACTGAGTCAGGGAGTGGAATCTGCTGGAGCGTTAGTGGATGAAACCCGACTGCGAGGTTGTCACACCTCTGTTAGGAGCCCAGGGCAGCCCAGTTTGATCTCTCTGCAAATGACAGGAGAATTCTCTGTTGTGAAACACCTGCCGCTTGGGAGGCCTCCCATCTTCAGGTCAGCCCCTTTCTCCCTAGCATACCTGGGGACACATTTTCTTAAAACATTTCCAGCCTCCTCCCCCTGTTTCGTCACGCTGGCGCCTGAGCAGTCCTGAGGTGCTGAGAGGGCAGTGTTGTGGCCGTTGTCCTCTTGCCCAACCAGCCAGTGTGGTTTTACTCACGTTTGATGTCCGCGCAGCGCCATGATTCCTTCAGACTGAGGTTCCTCTGAGCCCCGTGTAGGCCTAGCAAAGCAGAGCGCGCTTGCCGTGAGTTAGAGAAGCAAGTGCCTGGCTCTTGGAAACGGACAGTAAATAAAGGTGTCAGTTGGTAAAAAGAGAAAAATAAAGTGAGGGCAGAGAGGCCCACGCTGGGAATGGGAGAATGATATTCTAGTGCTCTGCAGAACACCATTGGGGAAGGACACCCATTGAGAGGAGCTAAATCAAGTCTCTGAAAGTTGTCCCACTAAAGGAACTAACTACTTCTTAACTCTTATTTATATGGTTTTTCTTTGATATTCCCATGAAATCCACTATTTAAAAATTTAATTTAAAATGACATTCCTCATTATTTTAAAATAATGTTCGGAATCGTAATCACTTTATTATTTATCACTTTTTTATGTATTTGTATAGTTTTAAATCTCCTTTTTTAAGAAATTATCTTCTTGTTCTTGGTGGGTTTTGTTTATATAGTCTTTGCAGCTCAAAGAGCCCATAGGTGGGAGTTTTCCTCATATATACTACCCTTAATTTGCCCTGGGCAAGTAATCGGTTCTACTCGAATGGATTATCCATTTTTGGATTTATCTATCTATCCCTGCCAGCCAGCTGGGACCTGGGTTGTTGACCTTAGGGTCACTGTAAGGAGTGTGTTTACCCACTGACAGTGGATTCAAGGTACTCCACAGTCAGAGATGAAAGACTTGGGTGTGGGAATGTGAATGCTGGGAGGTACAGGGCTCTGTATTTTTATTTTCTTCCTTGGTTAGCTTTCCTCAGAAGCAGAGATACTCTGGATGCTGTTAGCAGTCGCAGCAGGAGCAATGCCTGAATTTCTGCTGTCTGTCCAGCTTCCTCACCCTTTAACCCCAGGGCTTCCAGGTCCTTTGGGAGAGCCATCTCATCTTATTGAGAGGGCAGCGGGTCTGCAGGTCAAATGTGGGAATCTAGCAAGGAACGCTAGAGAATGGGCTTTGAGCACTAATGCCTCTGGCCAGTCTCACACTGCCCCCAGGACCTTGAAAGTCCTGGGGTTTCTCAATTTGACTTCCTGGATAGACATGCACAGTACCCTAGCATCCTACAGCCATCAGCAAATCAGTCCTCACTACACTTCCTGAGATTAGTGGTGATAGTTCGGGAGACCCCGGGCGAGTCTGTCTCTGTCTAGGAAGGGACTTAGGAACACCTAAACTACTTTTCTCCATCCAGCCCCTTCTTCTGCCTCCAAGTCTGGCCTCTGTATCCTGATTGCAGTCCTTAGGGAAACAATTTAACTTAGTTTCTGCACCAAGAAGCCCTTTCCAGTGGCATCAATCTCAAAGTGGTCTACAGGAAATGTTACTTATTTCTTTTAAAATCACTCCCTTTAATCTCTCTCCTCCCTCCTTATGCTTAACATTTCCTTTCAGAACCTGAGCTGGCTGGAGGAGAAAGAGAAGGAAGTTGTCAGTGCCTTGCGCTACTTTAAGACCATTGTGGACAAAATGGCCATTGATAAGAAGGTCCTGGAGATGCTCCCAGGGTCTGCCAGCAAGGTGCTGGAGGCCATCTTACCCCTGGTGCAGAGCGACCCTCGGATTCAGCACAGGTGAGTTGGGCAACTGGCCGTGGAGGCATGGCGGCACCTCGGTTTGGGGGCCATTCACACCCGACGTTTCTACCAACAGTGAGGAGTACCAGGAGGAAAAGGAGCCCTCCCAGCCCCTGCCCCCAGACTTGCCCCATGATCTCCACTTGGTTTTCTCCCAAGGTTGAGGTCATTATTACTCATGAGGCCTCGACACTGAAGAAGCTCACCACCACTGCTGGGGGGTAGCTGCTGGGTAAGCCTGTGGTTCTTTTTTCATACCAGCTGGCTCATTGGCAATCATCCCATTGATTTGGATACATTTTCCCCAGTTCCCTGTGTTAACCATAGTTTATTGTGACACCAAATCCTGCCCGTATCTAGCCGCTTAGAGACCTTGACCGCTTACGTTATTAAGCCAAAAGAGGTAGAGAGGAATCCCAGTAGAGCATGGATTAGTGAAATGTTGAGTAGTATCAAGCCAGGTCCTCCCAGACAGCAGCTGGATTCATTGGAAGCCAGGTACGGGGATAGAGTCAGCTTTTGTTGGGTAATGCTTCTTTTTTTTGCTAGAGTTCGTTTTCCTCTGAAAGGTTAGTCAGTGGCTTGCCTCTGTGTTTGTTGTTAACCACAGAAAGAAAAGCAGTATTGAATGTAATCTTCAGTGAGAGCCTCGCAGGAGCCTTCTCACGAGAGGCTGTCAGATGCCTGCTGGCTTTGTTTTCCTTCCCTGATACCTGTTCAGGATAAACATCTCTCTGTTTCAGTTCCTCAGGATGGTTTAGTGTCCTTGTAGCCCCATGGGGCTAAGCTTTTATGAACCGCTTTCAGAACTTGGCAATGAAGTACATAGTTTTCTTCTTTTGGGAGATAAAGCAAACAGTATCTTCATTTCCAAGAAGCTACCTGCCCTGGGGTTTCTGCCAACCCCTGTAGGTTCTGCTGACCCCTGTAGATGGTGGTCTTCTGGCTGGAAGCTCACTGGGGCCAGTTGGTGAGGAACGATGTAGCATTGATAGGGCTTTGCCCGGTTCTGTCTTCATTTTCCACAGCAGGCTGCCATCATGTACCCGAGCCTCTGGGGCAGCCAGTTGCTTCAGTGCCTTGTTCAGAGGCCCCTGGAGGCCTCTGTGAGACAAGTGCTGTGCTTTCCCACTAGGTCCCAGTGCCCGGCTCGTGGACAGGCCCAATGCGGCTCTCCTTGGAGGGAATGTGCCCGACAGTAAGCTCTTTTCAGGTGCATAGGCAGCTTTCTATGAAATGCTCTGATAGACTTCTCATGGGCTGGGCCCACCACGGTAGAGTTCAGATCTGGTTGAGAACACCAACTCCCCCAGTATCTGACCAGGTGCCGATTTTATGGAGGGCGAGTTACAAGAGAGTCGCACTTACTAAACTTCCTGGGGGAGGAGACGCTGGGGCTGGACCTGACGTCAAGGCAGGCGCTGGATGGGCTCTGGGGGCAGGAGAAGACGACCAGAGGAACCAGGGCAGCGGGCAGGTGTGTCCCGGGAGGGAAGAGACGTGCAGTCGTGCCCACCACGTGCTGGAGCCCCATGCCCACCACCTCGTATGCCCCCCTCCCTGGGAGAGTCACCACGGCCACCTTCGCTGAGTCCCGTGAGAGTGCTGGCCCCGCACTGCTGCCCAGCCTTGCGTCCCCAAGTGTCAGCCAACAGCTCTACTGGGGAAGCTACTTTCTAGACACACAAGCTCTGGGAGACTTGATCAAGTAATGTGACATTGGTCTGGGGTGTTTTTTGGTCTGTGGGGAGGTTTTATAATTACTTAACATCTATAACGATTTTCTTGATGGGAAAAGAGAAATGCCTGGGTGTGGCCATAAGGAACAATGGTTTTTTCCCTTTTGTGTTTTCCTGGTAGTCCTTTGGTTAATACCATTTAAGGGATTTTTCCTCCTGAAGTGTTTTGAAAGCCAGTTGGTGGTATTTTTATTGCTTCACTGACATGACTGAAAGCACCCCCTCATGTGTCTCTGTTAGCTTCCTCCCACCATCTCATTTCTCTGAGCGCGTTAGTTGGTTATGTGTGTGTTAGTTGCTCAGTCCTGTCCCAGTTGTTTGCGACCCTGTGGACAGGCTCCTCTGTCCATGGGATTCTCCAGGCAAGAATACTGGCGTGGGTTGCCATGCCCTCCTCCAGGGGATCTTCCCAACCCAGGGATTGAACCTGCATTTCCTGCATTGGCAGGTGGACTCTTGACGCTGAGCCCGGGAACCCGCCTGTTGGCTGGGAGGGTATTACCCTGCCTCCTCTGTGGGTGGGCTCCAGCCGGCAGATTGCTGGCCACCCTTCTCGCCTGTTCACAGGTCAGCGGTGATGGGCTGTGAACAAGCAGCTGGCTACCCCTTGTGGGCGGTGAACGGAGGTGCGAGAGCAGGACCGCTGCTCGCCCTCCACGTAGACGGCTTTTGTCTGTTTCGGAAGCAGATGAACTGGTCCTCTGGACATCTTTATCGTACAGGACCCTCCTTCCTTTTTTAATGTCTTTCCTATGACATTAAGACACAGGACTGTTCTTCCTCCAAGCTAACCATGTGAAGGGTGGACACAATCACTGATATCTTTAGGTGCTCTCAGGAAGATGTTAACATCCAGTGCAGGTAGGAGTTGAGCGTCACAGAAAAGTGACCCCTCCCACCTCTTTCATCTAATTACTGCCAGGTGCTTTGGTGGCATCCACTCAGGCCGGGGGTGAGAAACCCGTCTTTGTTTAAAAAGGCTTCATCTGGCCTTGCCTAGAAGGAGAAGGCAGAACTGCTAGGAGCACCTTCCCTTTCAGGACCATGTCACCTATCGAGGACTCAGGAAAGTCTAAAAGTTTTGTTTTATTCTCCTAGTCATCCTTTCTAAGAGAATAGGTGTGACATTGAATACTCTGCATTTATGTTATCCTCTAAAGCAGCCAAACCCTGGCTTTCTTGTGGCTTCTTTCTTACATTTTTCTTCTTTGTGATGGGCCTTGAGGAGTTCTGACTCTTCTTTCCCCGTTGGAACACGCGTGGGGTAGAGCGAACAGCAGAGTAGAGACCAGCGTCCTGGAAATTCTCTTCCTCTTTATCTGATTCTGAAGAGCTTCTTGTTAGAGCATTGTTTTGTTCAGATGTTTTTTTTAAATGGCTTTATTTTTAGAACCTGTTTTAATCATCTTACAATATTATGTATTTTTCTTACAATTATATCTGTGGAGAAAAAGCATATCTTTGGCTGCTAAATATCAGCTTCTTTTTTTTTTTTTTTTAATGGAGGAGATAGCAGCCTGCAAGTTTTCTACACTTTTGCTCTTCTTCTGTTGTAATACATAATATTCAAAATAGAAAAATAATTCTTTCCATAAATCCCCAGAATAATCATCTTTAGTTATTTTAAAAATATGTGTGAGATATAAAACATCTTCATTTCGGCCTCTACTCTGCAGCTGTCAGGGCCTCCAAAAGTACTTGGGGCTTGTTTTGTGTTGTTGCAAAGTTGGTGCCTCTCCCACCACCACAGGTCACCTTGCCTCCGCCTTATCCTTCTTAAAATACCCTTCCCTAGTGCATTCCTCTGACTTCTCAACCATGGTTTATTGTAGGGGATGACAAAGCCAAGCCAATGTTAGGAGGAATTCTAGTAAATTTCAGGTCTTTTGAACTCATATTTAAAGGTTATTCCTTGGGACTTCCCTCGTTGGAAGTGGTGGCCCAGTGGTTAAGATTTTACTCTTCTACTACAGGGGGCACGGGTTCAATCCCTGGTCTTGGAACTAAGATTAAAGAAAAAATTTTTAATCAAAGTAAAAGCTGTTCTCTAAAAGACCCTGCCTGCTAAAATCCCACAAACCTGTTGGCTCCTCATGACACATATGAGTTTTTACTTTCTTAACTCCAAAAACATTTTATATTGGTGTATACCTGACTATTTGTGATAGTTTCAGGTGAATAAGGAAGGGACTCAGCCATGCATATACATGTATGCATTCTTCCCCAAACTCCCCTCCCATCAAGGCTGAAGCTTAGGTTCTTACTGTGTCATTACAGAAAGAATTCAGTGAGAGACAAAGTGATAGGTGAAAAGTGAAGTTGCTCAGTCGTGTCCGACTCTTTGTGATCCCATGGACTGTAGGCCACCAGGCTCCTCCGTCCATGGAATTTTCCAGGCAAGAGTACAGGAGTGGGTTGCTATTTCCTTCTCCAGGGGGTCTTCCCGACCCAGGGATCAACCCAGGTCTCCCGCATTGCAGGCAGACACTTTACCATCTGAGCTACCAGGGAAGCCCAAGTGATAGGTAAGAGGTGGATTTATTTAGAGAGAAACATACTCCATAGTGTGTGGGCCATCTCGGAAGGTGAGAGCAACCTGTGAGTTTTTATCTAATTCAGAATAAGAAGTGTACAACACTCTGACCTAGTCGGAGGAGAGGAAGGTGGGCCATTCCTTGAGAGATGTTATCAGAATCTCATGGAGGATGTGAAGTTTGAAAAAGCACATAAACTCTCGTGGTGGAATTTTTATACATTTTAGTTGAGAAATGAAAAAAAAACTTAGGCCAGAATATAAAGCTCCACAAAATCTTCATCGGATGTATGAAATAGGTTCAGGGAGGGAAAGTGTATTTATTAAAAGGAGGTGCAGATTTTATAGAAAGGACTGAGAAATCTGAGTCACTGAGAAACTAGGTCTGTGCTAAACAGAAGACTTAAAGTGATGGCCGTGCTTTGGAGTTTTAATATTCTCTTGAAAATCTCCTCCTGCCTCCAGCTCAGCCCTCTCCTCCTGCTACAGCCGAGTGTACCAAAGTCTCGCCAACCTCATCCGTTGGTCTGACCAAGTGATGCTGGAAGGCGTGAACTCAGAAGATAAAGAGATGGTGACAACTGTGAAGGGGGTCATCAAGGCCGTGCTGGACGGAGTAAAGGTATGTGCGGGTTCCCAGTGGTTCTCAGCAGGGACTTGGAGCTGCCTCACTGCCAGCTGTTTGTCTCACAAGAACTCATTCCTAAACTCCTGAACGTCGGAGTGAATGTCTTCTGGTGTCTCTGTTGTTGGGTGCCACTCTGTCCCACAGCTGTTTCTGTCTCCTGGTACACATGCTCTTACAGCCGTGTCACCTTTGGAGGACTGGGCCCATGGTTAGAAAAGCTGCCAGAGGCAGTCAGCCTGTTCTGGGCCTTGTGCTAAATCTGCACTGAGTCTTTATACTACAGCTCTGGCTGTGCATGCCTACCAGCTCGACAAAGTCCAGTGGAAGCTGTTTTTGCATTGACTCTTAACAAAACTCCCAGCATGTCAGCTGCTACCTTTTCATAGTCTAAGAATATCTTAGTAGAAAAGCAGGATTGAGATGAGTTAGAAGTAAAACTGGAATCTATGATGTAGTTTGTGAATTTACTACCCAGGGAAGTCAGAAATAGCATAATAGAAAATTATAAATCATTGTTAAGGTGGGAAGCAAAGTCCTTCTAAGGAAGGTTCTATGGTTCTGGAATTGGGGTCCAAGGGACAAACCCTAATTGAGAAAATAAGTCCCAGTGGATAAGGAGCAAGGCAGAATGTAGGGCAGGAAACAGGTGGGAGCCTGCAGGTCAGGATGAGGGCTGTAAGCGGTGAGCAGGTGTGGACCCTGCTGTTAGACGCTGCTGTGTGATGTCGTGGAAGGAGGGCTAGGCTGGAACCATTAGATTTCACTCCCGCGTTCACCTCTACTTACCAGTCTGAACTGGAGCAATTTCCTCAAGTGCTCTGAACCTTAGTTAACTCATCTATAAAACACAGGCAGTTATGGCACCCTATATCATGGGGCTATCAGTTCAGTTCAGTTCAGTCGCTCAGTCGTGTCCGACTCTTTGCGACCCCATCAATCACAGCACGCCAGGCCTCCCTGTCTATCACAAACTCCTGGAGTTTACTCAAACTCATGCCCATTGAGTCGGTGATGCCATCCAGCCATCTCATCCTCTGTCGTCTCCTTCTCCTCCTGTCCCCAATCCCTCCCAGCATCAGGGTCTTTTCCAATGAGTCAACTCTTCGCATGAGGTGGCCAAAGTATTTGAGTTTTAGCATCAGTCCTTCCAATGACACCCAGGACTTATCTCCTTTAGGCTATAGGAAGGATTAAATTATTTAATGCATGTAAAGCTTTTAGAACTATGTCTGGCATACAAAGCACTCATATCTTAGCTGCTGTCTAGTAGTAATTATGTGGTGCTAGAGGTGTGCTTTGCAAATAGACCTCTTGGCTTGAAAAACTGTGTTCTTCTCCTTTCTAGACCCTCTTGTCCAAAGTGGCAGCTGAGATACTTACCCTAGGTCCAAAGACTTCCTTCCCCATTCAGCTGTGCTACTAGACGTCTAAAAACTGCCTCCTTTGACATATGTTCCCCAGACGCTCTGGAGAGTAGAGTAAGGACCCCCCTGCCCCCGATGGGTAGAAATGACAGACGGAAGGCTGAGAAAGCGTTGCTTAACGTCCCACGCTGCTCCAGAGTGAGCCGTGTGGGCTGGGCTGATCTGGGCGGCTCCCTCTCTGTGTGAGCAGGGCCGCTCTGTCTTTGGGGGCTTCCTGGGCTCACTCAGAGGCGGGCAGGACTGGGCGCCGTCACAGCATCCTCTAAGAGTTCCCAGGCCCTTCATCCCCAGAACAGTGAGGCCCTACACCATCAGCTTTGGCCATGAGACCTACAGAGGCAACCTGGGGCCGCTTTCCAGACGTGGCACCTGGCCACACAGTCTCCCATGCGAGCGTCCGGTCACTCTCTGAGGTCAGCAGGACAGGTGAGACATGACCGGGGCCACGCATCCCTGTCGGGGTGCCTGTCACCTGTGCCTCGCCTCACCTCTCCCTGTCCAGGCTTCTGGAAATGCTGTCACTGACAAGTGTTATTTCTCAGGTGACGTTGTTAAGGCTTCCTTCTACTGCATGATTGTAATGAGATGTTTAAAACAAGTCAGGACATCACAAATAGAAGAGTTTCCAGGCATGAAGCTTTGTGACGTTCCCATGTGGATTTTCTTTGTGGTATCATTAACATGCCACTGTCAGTTGAAAAGTTGTCTAAAAGAAAATTTATCAGATTTTTTCAGATTGACCAGGATGAGAGAGGGGGAGGGAGCAAGAAAGAGATACCTGTTGATTATGAACCTGTCAGTGTCTGAACTTTTCCACAATTGTCCCTAAAATATTTCAAGCAGAACAGAGATTCTCTCAGTGAGAAGCTCAGGAAATTCACATTTGTTTCTTTTATTCAAGAAGCCGTTAGTGAGAATCTCCTGTGTGCTGGACAGTGTGGTGGAATTAGGAGGATAGTGATAAAACTGGCACAGTCCCTGACCTGATGGAGTTTACGATCCAAAGGTGGAAAGGGCAACAGCCAAAGACCCGTAATTGAATAATTAATTATAACAGGACTAGGGCTGTGGAAGAAAATGAGTGCGAGGTCTTACTTGGCTCTTGGGGGACCTTCATTTTTCAGGGTGATCAGAGGTGCTTCCCCAGGGATGCTCCCACGGGCAGGCTGAGGCCTATAGGATGAGCAGGAGCTGGCCTGTGTCACTAGGGGATGTCTGTGGTTGGAGTCAGTCAAGACAGCAGGGACGATCCAGACCCCATGGTGCTGCCATTTGTAAAGGTCTAAGTTGTCATAACAGCTGACAATTGACTCCCCACTTAACTCAAAGGCCTTCACTTCCCATTTGCTGTAGGAACCACCTCCAGCCCAGGACTTGGCTGTTGGAGGGCTGAGTTTGTTGAGGTCAGACAGATACACAAGTTTGTCCTTTCAAAACCAAGACCCCAGCTCTTCCTCATCTCGCCTTTCCAGCATTCCTTCTCTCAGGTGTACAGCTTCTTACCTGTCTCTCTGGACTCTGCTTTACCTCTTTTCAGATCCTCTTGGATCTCCCTGCTGAGCCCTCCAGCTTCTTATCCAAGAGCACACACACACACACACACACACACACACATTTAGTTTTTTGATTGAGGGGAAGAAAAGCCTTTTTCTTGCACTGACCTGGGGGAAAAACTTTGGAATACCCACAGTTCTGTCCTTTAACAGTCACCAGCCAAAACTGTGCTTGTGTTCCAGACTCACCTTGAATAAGGTGAATATTTTGAAATATTTTCCTGACTGTATGAGCTAGGGGTAGATCTGGCAACAAGTAAATCCAAAATAATCCTGGCTTCAAGAGGTAGAACTTTATTTCTCCTTCATGTGTAAGAAGCCTAGCAATAGGCAGTCCAAGGCCAATGTGGCATTTTCACAGACTGGCCAGGATGTGGTCTTCTATCCTGCTTTCCCATCATCATAGCACACAGATTCCACTGTGTGGTGCAGAATGCCTGTTCAGTCTCCATCAGTTACAACTACTAGCAAGGAAGAAAGAGAATAGGAAGCTGCCCCTTCTCCATTGGCCAGTACTTACTCCAAGCCCTCACAAGCTCTCACATGCTATTGGCCAGAACTTAGTCATGTGACCGAGTAAAATTCTGTTAACAAGGAAGCGCAGATACTGTGGGGCCCCTGGCTGTCTCTGCCACACTGATATTTAAGATCAGCCATCACTTTTATTCCTTGTTCAGCCTATTTAAAAATTTTTTATGATGACAAATTTTAGACATTTGCAAAAAGAGAACAGTATAATGAAGCCTCATCACAGAGCTTCCACAGTTGGCCAGTCTTGTTCCTTCCAGACCTCTTCCCGCTCCTCTGGATTATTTGGAAGTGAATCTGAGACATCCTAACCTCCGTTTATCTGTAAATACCTTAGCACATAGCTTCAGAACAAGGCACACTTTCTGCGAAGGGCCAGATAGTAGATGTTCTAGGTTTATGGGGCTACACTTGGTCTCTGCTGCATATTGGCCTGTTGCATAGTCTTTGTTTTTGTTTTAATTTCATTTTTTTAAACAAAGCTTTTTTACCTTGAGGGCCTTAGAGAAGTGTCAGGGGAGTGTAATTTCCTCAGTTCTGTCTCATCACAACAAAAACTTGAAGCGACAGACATTAAAGCCCTCGGTGCGTCACAGCTCTCCAGCGATGTTACAGCTCCGTGTTACAGCTCTGTTTTATTTAGAAAATAAAGGAAAATACATCCTTGAGGCGTGAGGGCATGCCAACCCAAAAGACTGGAAGAGAGAGAGAGAGAGAAAGAAAAAGCACATGGTGCCCTCGAGGGAAACCCCCGCCCCCCAGACCTTTGGCTCCTCTTTTTATTTTTTTTCATCCCCCCCGGGCCCGCCCTATGTAAATTGGGCTAGCCCGGACCGCTGTTCTACCTGAGGTCCTCACTCTGGTCCCAGAACCTTCCTTTGTTCTATTTTCTTGGGCTTCTCCTTTCCTTGTCTTTTAGCCACCGCCTTTCTGGGCTCCTTTTTCCTATGCTAACTACCTAACAGAAGCAAGCCCTGGACTGGATTTGGCCTGGAGGGAGTAACTTGCTGATTCTAAACAGTTTGTTTTTCAATTTCAGATCCAAATAAACTCCACACACTGTTATTCATTAATAGGTGTTTAAAATTCTCCCTTCTCTGTAGTTTTATCCTTGCAACTTATTTGTGTGTGTGTGTGTAAGGAAGGGTTGTTTCTCCTAAAAATCTGCCGTACTTTGGTTTTGCTGGTTACATCTTTACAGTGTTACTAACATGTTCCTCTGTCTCTTGGGGCTTCCCTGGTGGCTCAGATGGTAAAGAATCTGCCTGCAGTGCAGGAGACTTGGGTTAGATCCCTGGGTCGGGCAGCTCACCTGGAGAAGGGAAGGGCTGCCCACTCCAGTATTCTTGCCTGGGGAATTCCATGGACAGGGGAGCCTGACGAGCTACAGTCCATGGGGTTGCAGAGTCAGACACGACTGGGCGACCAGCACTTTCAGTTTTCTTTCTGTCCCTTGAATTTCCCAGAAAACTAGGCTGAATCAGATTCA